CATGGGGACAGGGAGGGAGCCCTGGGCTAGTGGCTCCCAGGGCTGGAGCTGGTGGTGTCCCACAAGCAAAGGGTGTGCCCAGAGCTCCTGGTCCCTGCAGTGCCTCTGCCAGAGGCTTTTCATTCTGGTCAGAGCTTGGGCAGCTTCGTGGCTCTCTTAAGTAATGTCAAGGATCTCATCACAGGGTTGAGAGGACGATGTCACTTCAGCTGCTCTCCCATCCCATGGCAGGTGGAAAGCTGCTGGGGTCTTCTCTGCAGCTGCTGAAATGCCAGCTGGGGACACAGTGTGATAAGACAGCCTTTCCCCGGGGATGCAGGACCCCACCAGGCCTGGCCGGCCAAAGCTTCTCTGTTACATTGGTGCCAGGACCTGATTTCAGGGTGGGCTGCGGTGCGCAACAGGACAATCTCACTTTGCACTGAGCCGGGTTGGCTGCAGGCAGAGCTTCACGGGTGGTGTGGCAGTGCCCTGTCCCAGCCCTCAGATGGCTGGATTTGATCTGCAGCTCAGGCGTATTCTAACAAGGGGTTTTTCTTTGCTGGCAGCATTCAGTGCCGTTGCATCCTCTCCCTAGGGCCAGCTGAGCCTTGTCTCTGAAATGGACAGCTGAGTAACACGAGAAAATCATGGCCAATGTAGCCCATCCGTATGTGCCCTGAGCGCAGTGTTGCCCTACACCACGCACAGCGTGTGCCCAGCGCTGTCTCACCCCACGCACACCCTATATGTGCCCCGCACACGGGGCTGTCTCACCTGCCCACCCCTGGGCACCCCGAGTAGCCCCCTCCCCCCCCCCCCCGTGCACTTCGCATTTGCTTCTGCCTCCCGCTGTGTGCGCTGCCCACCCACCCCATCCGCACCCGCAGGCACCTCGCAGGCCGCGCTGCCTTCTCCTCCAGCCCCGGCAGCACTTCACTGTCCGTGCGCTGTGCACGCATCCTGTACGCCTGCAGCTGCCTCATCACCCAGAAATGTGGGGGAGGCTTCATTCTTGCGTGAAGCGTTCAGAGCATGCCTGGTGCCCCCCTCCTTTGCTCTGCTTTCCCCCCAGCTTTCCTCCCTCCTGTCTTCCCACCCCTGCTCCAGCTTCCTGCCCTTTGATGTGCCTCCCCTCCTCTGCCCCAGGGTATGAACTGCTTACCAGGTGGAGGTGACTTCTCCCCACCCCACAATTAGGTGCAATTATAAGGTTATGCTTTTCCCCCAGCCCTCACTCTGGTGTGCATTGAAGGTGAATGGGCTCACGAGCTGAGTCCTGCTCCAGGCTAACGACAGGCAGGACATGGAGCAGGGCCCCGATCTGTGCGGGCGAGTGGTGCCGGTGGGAGCTGGAGGTGGGATGACAGGAGGGTCCTGGTGGTGCTGGGGATGGGATGGCTGCCGATCACATCCTGGCCTGGTGGCCCCAAGCAGGGACTCAGCTGCAGGAGCCCAAGCCTGCTCCATTCCAACACAGGAGCCGCAGATACCTGGGTGCTTCTCGCTGTAGTCAGGCAGAGCCCAGAAATGTGCCCCTGGGGAAGGCGCAGCCAGTGCTTGTATGGAGACAGGTCCCAGCAGCTGGCAGCGAGCTCAGCTGTCAGCTCTCGTCATTTCTGCTTCAAGAAGTGCAGTGCCTCAGCACCCATGGGATGCCCTTGGCTGGCAGCAGCCAGCGGAGGAGTGGGGCTCCACGCGCTGCAGCCCTTGGGCTTCTGAAGCTGCTGCCTTTGGCTAGAGGTGGGACCCCTGGGTCTCCTAACAGGACATAGGTTTGCTTCCACTGCTGTTGGTGCTGGCTGCGAGGGAGCTGATGGCTACAGCCAAGCCCACCCCACATGTCATCCCCGCTCTCGCTGAGGCTGAAGGAGTGTCAGCTCTTGGTGGCTCCTGGTTCATCATCACCTCCTGACCACGTCCCAGGTGAACACACTCCTGCAGCAGGTTTTGTGGAGCATGGCTGTGTGAACACCTCACTTCTCTGGTGTGACTTTGGCCGCAGGGTGCTGGGAGCCAAAACTTCAGTACCCAGCCAGCTGGGCACATCTCTGGCAGGGCAGCCCTTGGATGCTGGGCAGTGCCTGGAGGCCAGAGCGAGCACGAGCCCTTCCTGCTGCAGAAAAGCAAAAGGCTTCATCAGAACCGCTCCATCCAAGGACAAAACGCTGCCACCATAGCCAAGGAGTCCTCGCTCCGTCCCGTAGGAGAGTGCTCCATGTGCAGATGTGGATACACACTCATGCAGACACCTCCACATGCTTGTCCTGAGGCACACGGGGCAAACGCTCTGCCGTGGCCAAGGCTAGCCGATCTGCAGCACTTTCTCCTCTGGTTGCTCTGCAGGATGCAGGCAGCCAAGCTCAGGAGAAAAACTGAGCTGGTCTGCTGCATGTGGGGAATCCCACCTCTGCAGTGCACTACAGCATGGCAGCACTCGTACCATTGAGGTCAGGGCATCTGTCCAGGGTTTTTCTGATTTCTAACCTGTTTGTATCACAAGAGGTGCAGATGAACGTGAGGCTTGCAGAGGGTCTGCAGGGCACCTCTGACTTTGACATGGACAGCCAGAGCAACCCCATCAGAGACATGCACACGGTGGCTGCCAAACGACTGAGGCAGCTGTGTGCAGGCAGGGAGAGCCCCCATGTGCTCCCCTGCCCCAATGCCAAGCGCTGCTGGCAGGGCCCTGGAGCGGGTGCTCCCCTGAGCTCTTCACTCCCGGCCAGCACTGCTGGGTCTACGTTGGATGAGCCCTGCTCAGCTGCAATGGCCATCGAGGTTCTGGGAGAACCTTGGCTGTGGCCATGTTTCAGGGCACACCTTGGCAGCACGGCCCCAGTAAGGGACAGGACTGAGCTGTAACTGCCAGGGGAGGTTCAGGTTGGATATTACGAAGAACTTCTTCACTGTCAGAGTCGTTAGGCATTGGAATGGGCTCCCCAGGGAGGTGGTGGACTCACCATCCCTGGAGGTGACATTTAGATGTGGTACTTCGAGACATGGTTTAGTGGGTTTAGCAGGCGTGGTGGCACCGAGTATGTGGTTGGACTTGATGATCTTTGAGGTCTCTTCCAACCATAACGATTCTATGATTCTATTTGCGGCTCTCGGGGTAGCATTTGGGCAGCCAGGGGCTCAAGAGTGTGTGTGTGCATGTGTGAGTAAGGCATGCGGTGCAGCATGTAAAAACACACCTAGAGAGAAAGTCTCAACAGAGAATAAATTGAAAGAAAATGTAATTAAACACAGAGAGCATCCTGTCTATTACTCAACTCTCCTTGCATAACTCTCGGGACCGGCTGCCTTTACAGATGGCTGCTCTGCTGTCAAAGTCATTTTCTGGGCACCTGTTGGAAAAAATGCCAGGTCAGCACAGAACTAATTGCACCAGCACCTTTCCTTGTAGTGAGATTTAAAAGTCTAGAGGAAAAATTGCTGAGAGGTCTTGCAGCTCCCCAGACGAACCTGTGATGCCTCCTGCTACTTAATCCTCCCCATGTACTCCGGCAAGCAACTGTGACGGAGACAAGGACATTGCAGTGGCCCGGAGGGTCTCTAGAGCTCAAGTGGGCCCTGGCAGAGGAGGCTGCATGTCTCCCCTGGGAGCACGGTGATGGCTGCTGCTGGGCCAGAGGGAGCAGGATGGGAGCCGCTGCTGTCCCCAGCCCCTCTCAAAGGCTGTGGCACTTCTCCCCTTCCCCAGCTGTTTGTACCCAGGTCTGAGGCTCTCGTGAGTGGCCAAACAGCAGAGAGCTCTGCAGCTGTGGAGCGATACACAGACACGTGAGGTGCCTTTGTTTGCCTGGGTGAGCAGCCAAGTTGCAGCCCATCTCCATCTTCCTACCAGCTGCAGATCTAAGGCAGCTGACTGGCCTGCCAAAAAACCAAAACATGTCGAGGACCAGGGAGTGGCTTGTGCTAGTGCTGAATAATGATGATCCCAGCACGCTTATAAAACGAAGAGGCGGACATCTCACCACAGAGCTGTTCCCTGCAGCCCTGGTCCTCCGCAGAGCATCACTCCGCCTCATCAGCCAAGGTACGTTTCTGAATTAAGAGACTCAAAATGGGAACTGTGTTTGTGTCTGCAGCGGGGCCCATGCCCTGTGGCTGGGGACAGACTGGGCTTTTCTTTTAAACTTGGGGAAAATGCTACCGCTGCTCCTGTGGAGGAGTTTCTGGCCAGGGAAGCAGAGCAACCCTGTGCTGCAGGGTCTGTAGGTGCCAGCCTGCCCCAAGCAGAGCTCAAAACATGTGGGCAGC